TTTCAAGCAAGCCCCTCACCCCCAGCTTGAAACAGGCCTGAGTTTCAAAATTCTCAGAGCTGCTGACACAGGTCTCAGGACAAAGTCAGGATGTTTGAAGAGCCATCTGGTAGCAACTGATTAACCATAGAACGCCCCAATGCTGGAGATGGCCAAAAGTACAAAGTCAGGATGTTTCAAGGACTATCTGGTAACAATTGATTAACCACAGAATGCCCAATGCCGGAGGTAATCTATAAAGTTTGACAAACAACTGGTTAAAACTACAAAGTAAGATAACACAGAAATTCTGGAAAGCCCCTAAAACTTGAGCCAATCAGAGTTGTCCCGGTACTAGCACCCCTAAATGATGTAACCTTGTGGTTTTTGCCTTTAAAAACTGAGCTTGCGGAGGGGCAGGCACCTCCTCTAGCCTCCGATGTGTTGGGATGCTCGACCAAGGTCTCTGGTGCTGCTTGAATTGAAATAAACCTTGCTTTTGCATTTTGGTGAGTTTGTGTCTCTGGTGGTCTCGCACCCAGGGCACAACACTAGCAACAGGAACTTCAATTACCTTTTGGGAAATTGCATCCATCCTTTCAGCCTTGGGAAACTATTAATAAAAGTTCCCATGATCAAAGCATAAAGAACAGGCATGTTTTCTTCTGGAGTTTCACCCAAGTGAAGTTCTGCAATGACTAGGAAAATAAAATAAATTTGCTGTTGTTGAAACTGTGACTCTCTCAGGTATTCAGCAGGCAACCCGATTTCAGGTCGTGTAATCAAATACAGTCTGATTTCTATTGCAACCACAGTCCAGCGATAAGCAGCTTTGGTTCAGTTGGTTCACACTGTCTCGGCTCCTGTATTGGTGGTGGTATCCTTGTTCTTTCCCTCACAAACACAAAGTCATCGCAGAGCTTCCTGCATTGCATCCAAGTTCAAGATAGGAGATGATGAGAGAACTGTGCTTCAGTTTTCCTTATTAGGAAATCAAAGTCTGTCTAACAAAATCCCAACTGTGTTCTTACTTCTATATCCTGCTGGATCTGGATCTTGTAAGCATCTGAGCTGCAAAGAGGAATGGGGAAAGCTAGTATTTACTTTCTGCAGCCTCTGTGGGTGAAGGAGGCAAAGGAAAAGGACTGTGATTGGTACAGTCACTGGGACACCAAGCGACAGTATCTCCTCTCTAGTGGCTGTGCTGAAGGCCACACAGGTGAGCGTGATCTATCTGCTCCACACAGGTGAGCCTGCTCTATCTACTCCACACAGGTGATCCTGCTCTATCTCCTCCACACAGGTGATCCTGCTCTATCTCCTCCACACAGGTGATCTTGCTCTATC